AAAACCACGGCTACGCGATCGACATTCGAATGCTGGTAATTAAAACGAATTGCAGCTGATCATTTGATCCAGAAAATACCTCATCAGTTAAATACCGAGCATGACTGCTGTGAGTTTTCCTTGAGCGTGTTCAATTAAGCGAGACTTCCTCATCGCGAAGCAAAAAACTAAACACAGGAATTTTATAAACTCGAGGTTTTTGTCACGTATCAAGTAAAGAGCGCTGCCTGCCCTCTGTCAATATAGACGAGCGAATTGGCAATTATCATTTCTCAATTTGGGAGTGTTGAAGCCATGTTTCTTGAACACTTTAATTTGAAGTTACTGACGCCAGCACATGGTTTGAACCTAAACCGAGTTCAGTCGACATTCGTTCACCTGAAGTTCTTCATTTTGTTTGAAGCATCACTTCAATTTGACGTGATCTGAACTTACCAAACGTTAAAAAACTTCGAACTCGTATTCCAAAATCTACAGACTCGAGAATGTTCTTAACATTGCACGGAAAAAATTCATTGTGATTTACTACACCATTGCGTACTTAAACGTGGCGAAATGAATAAATTGGCAGGTTGTACAGTCCAATGCTCTTCATCACGTCCTACTTCATCGTTGTAAACTTACGTATTATTCTCCGCCGTAATGATCGTGAAATTTACCGTTTTTTAAAGTATAGTATAATTTACTGATGTGTTCATAATACAAGGCGATTCCCGGAAAATTTCTGCTTTGTATTTCGCGTTAAGCAGCAAGATGTTGTACGAAAAGGGCGGGGAGTATTTCATATGAAAGGCAAGGCCATGAAGTTTTGTGTCCCGCCTAGTCAGTTGCCACTATGCATTTGATAAGTACATTGCCTGCGGCACAAAAACTCAGCGAAAACGATTTTATTGATCGCCGAAATGCATGTGAAGCCCTTTTTGAGGACTTACCTCACGATGCAGTTGTTTTCTCTAGTGATGAGGCTCACTTCCACATTTCTGGCAGCGTCAACAAGCAAAACATGCGTTATTGGAGTTATAACAACTCGCGTGAACTATATCATCGGCCACTTCGTTGCGAACGCGTAACTGTATGCTGTGCAGTGTCAAAAGTCGTCATAATTTGCTCTTATTTATTTGAAGAAAACGAACGCCCAGTAACAGTGACTGCAGCTCGGTACACGCAGATGGTTCACCCCTTTTTTGCCAAAACTGGCAATGAAATGAATGTCATGTTAGGTTCCAACAGGAAGGCTTCACGGTCCACACAGCGCGATGTTCAATGGATCTTCTGAGACAAAATTTTGCAGAGCGCCTCATCTCCTTGAGTGGTGACCTTATTTGGCCGGCCCGATCCCCCGATTTAGCTCTGTGTGATTTTCTTATGGGTTTATCTTAAATCAATTGTGTAAAATGACTGTTCAATTAAGGACCCTACTTCATTTGAAGAACAACGAACGTCAAGCCATCGCCAACATACCTGACATTATGCTTCAGCGGATATATATAAGGATATTTTTACTAGTTATTTTTTTCTTAAGCTTTCAAATCAGAAAGTTTCCGTTAATTAATAACCCGGTAGCCACTTCCGGTCTCACCACATTTGTTGAGGGCGGTAAACAGCGCTCTTTATTATCAAACGTGTCAATCCTAGATATTTCTAGCGATTTCAAAAAATCAAATTGTCCCATTGGAATTTCATTGAGTTATTCCACTAGCTCATGCCAGACATAGAGGTAACTGCTGCCGGGAATGAACTGTCAACAAGCTTGTCAACTCCACACGAAGCAGTTGGCGCAGGCCCTCGCTTCTGCTTGATTTGATTATTCCAGCTGCAGACCAAGGACATTCCCTTACGTTGGTCTGCAATGTCGTTGGTCTGCAATAGATTGCGTTGCTTCAGATGTAGTGCTTGTAACCGTGAAACTTGAAAGGAAAATTTGAGGGACTTTAATCTTAAATTTAGTTTGCAATTCACTGCTCAGTTTTGCACAACCTGTAATCACAATTATATATTTTTATTTATTTGCAGAATGTTGCTGATTTTCATGCAAGACTCTATGCCGAGTTTATTATAGTAATTTATTTAAAAAATTACAGTAATTTAACACTGATCCCTGAAGAAATGGTATTTTCTCCCAAGTTCGCTTACTCGTGTGAAATATATTCTTTTCAAAAATGTTGAGTTTGGGTTGTTTTCAAAAATACAGTAATTAAACGCTGATCCATGAATAAATGGTATTTTCTTCCAAGTTCGCCTACTCGTGTGAAACTTTGGCGTTTATATAACCCGTCGAGGCGCTGCCAGGAGGCTTACACGCAAAATGTTTTGGGCTTCAGAACATAATTTATTCATGAGCTAATTAGAGCAAAGAGGGCCTGTGAGCTGAGTAAGTCATGAACCACAAGTAGCGTATTTACACCAGCCTTATCTGGCTGCAAGGTTTTCACATGATACTGGTTAGAGCTTCTTTCTTGTTCTACAAGACTGATCCGTATCCGTGCTCTGAGATCCAGAACTCGGTGCTGCTCGAGGGTGAATGAAAATATCTTGTATACCCAATGAACTGATCACCAGTTCATATAGGTCTGATTTGTATGTCATATTTTTCTATAATATTTATTAATGACTGTACATGGCATGGACATGGCATGCTCACATTCTTTTCTAGTACTGTTTGAATTACAGTACGTAATCAAATGCTGATATTTTTTCGCACCACCTAGAGTACAAATTTTTGATGAGCCTAATGTTTTAATCGAAGACCTCATCCCAACATACCGGTCGTACAGCGCATTGGTTAGTGCTCCTGTTTCGCTTCCAGCGCTTTTCCTGAATCATATCATCACAGCATCATTTCACAGCATTTAATGACAGCATCATTTCCTTGGGGAGAAACTCATCATTCCGTCCCGATCTTGCCACTTTCTGTGGTAATGTAACTTGAACATTCGTGTTAATCCTAGTTTATGTTTTGAATGGTTCACATACTTTCAGAAAAATTGCGAATTGTTACCAATTCTGTGAATAGGACATTACATTTCCCATTCCTACAATTTATGCTCCTTTTATAGCAAAGCCAATCATTGTGCAAGTTCTATACTAGTAGCTCGAGGGCCATCGTCGGAGTGGATGAGTGTTTTATTCGATCTGATGTGTATTTTACCCAGCACTTTACATTCGTTATGTGGAGCATCATTGCCGGGAGTGCCTGCCCTCTCCATAGCATCGCTTGCGACTTTACTTAGCATTAGGACCATCCAGAATTTGCCGTGCTCTGAACTTATTGATATTCTCTGAACGATTCCTTCCGCCTTATATTATCCTTCTACTCTTTTCAGGATGGATAAATTTGGTTTAATGTTCCGACTATCCTAATTTTTTACTGGCTTTCGTATATCATCAATATAGTTTTCTACACCGAAACTATAGTTCTTCTTCTCTTCCGTGCAATATTCTACGCAAACAAAGGCTTTGCAGATCTAAATTATTTTTTTTTCCATTTCATTTCCTAAAATCGTTTTTATCTTAATTTCCGGCTCTGGTTATCTCGGCAGCACCGGGGGAAATAACCTGAGCTCCTTATTTTCTTTTTGTTATTTTTACGGAATTAACTAAAGCAAGTAACTTAGCCCGGATTTTTATATCGATTTTCATGGGGTTTTATTATGTTTTCACTGATATCTTTCACATCCTTGTGTTCTTGTCACTTATACATTTAGCTTCGGAAGATTTGGTTTCTATTTATAGACTAGCTGCAGCCCGGCGTTACTCGTGATAGATAATTCTTGCTATTTGATAATCCATTTATTCCCAATCCTTTAAACCCGAAACCGGTCATCCCGAATTCAATTAATAATTTAGAACCAAAAGTTCCGTAAGTAAAAATAAAACCCTACCGTTTCAGGATCCATTCAAGTTGGGTTATGCAATTTAAATGAAAATTGAAGTTTATTATTATTATATTATTAAATTTTTATTAATATTAATTATGGGGCTATTAGGAGCTATTATGTTTTTATTAAAATTATGATTATTATTATGATAAAATTAACGGTTGCCAAATTAAAAATCTCATTTTTATTTGAAATCCAACCCGTTTGTTCATTTATTAATGTCTCAGAATTCCAATTTAAAAAAATACATGGTATATCGGTATATCCCGACACGCGCCTGATCAGTCTATGTACAATTCCAGCTCCAGGCTTCAAACACACAATCTTTGATAAATGCATAAGGTAATAAACCTTGCATCGCTTCATGTTTGCAATTTTTTCGGGTTCGTTCCACTTGTACTTATTTTCGTTCGAGCGGGTTTTTAATGGTAAAATTTTAAGTCTCAGAGAAATAGCGAGTAAATTCTACTGCTAGTTGCAGCTCCAATTAATATTTTTAAAATAGCTAATAATTGCATAGAAAACTTCGGTCAAATGTATATACGTAGTCATATTAGTAATAATCAAAATATTTTTAATATGTTCCTTTATTGGATTAATATGAAGTAGAAGGTTTTCTTATATAATTCGTACATCATACAAGATATTATTGAATGAGAACTTGAAGTTTTCAGCACAATATTTCAGCTCGTGATAAAAATTCTTGCGTAAGGAAATTCATGCATGAAACTCTATATATGTTTATTTTGAGAGTGTTTTGGTTATGTTTTGCTGATATTCTTTTTGATTCAATTGTCTTGTTCACATGAACAACCTACACAAAATCAAACCAAATTCATACTCAAAAGTCTTCATGCACAGCAAGTGCTGAACAAACCCCCAAACTATTATTATTTTGAGAATCTTATTTTATTTTTAAATACTTACAAAATCTGTAATTCGTAACTTCGCTTCAATGCGCAGAGTTCCGCGAGTTATTCCTACTTTTCGACAAGGACGGCGACGGGACCATTCCTTCTGCTATCTTATCATTATTTCTATGTGAGCATTGAATAATTTGTTCTTATTGTGTTTTTAAGCACTTACACTATTTGTACTTAATAACCTCGCCTCAATGTGCAGAGTTCCGCGAGTTATTCCGACTGTTCGACAAGGACGGCGACGGGACCATCACTAAGCAAGAGCTTGGACGCGTCATGCGCAGCCTCGGGCAGTTCGCCACCACCGAGGAGCTCAACAGCATGCTTGACGAGATCGATATTGATGGTCAGTGATACTAATTTTCCCTAGTGGTAAATTATTGCATTTAGCGCCACTTTATTGTCAATCATGGAGTTCGTACGGAGTGAAGACGCCGAAGCGATTCATTATTCACGTCTCGGACAAATTTACGGCCGGACCCGCGGCCGGTCTCGCGGCCGCCGTACCCCAAACATAGAAAAAACCTAGCCAATCAACGAAAACCTCGCAGGTTAGGTCCAGTTAGGAACAGGTTCCATTAAAAACACAAAAAAAAACCTAGAAAACCCCATAAAAACACTAAGAAAACCTTTCCGGCCGCGGGTCCGGCCGTAAATTTGTCCAACTTTCATATTCACGAATTGCAATCGTCACATCGGAGTCCGGAGTTCAATTGTTAGAGATTATGAGACTTAGCTGTAATAGATTATGAAACTCTACTTCCAAAAAGTATAAAAAGGTAGTATTGGAGTGAAAATAATAAACAAATTGATTATGTGATGCCATATTTTTCAAACTTTCTACTAACATACTTTCACTTGCATTATATTGCCTGTGAGTTTAATTCTTTTCAGCCAATCAATTTGGGATAATCGGCACATAGTTATTTAACAGTTCTACACTTGACGCTTCAGCTTACGTTTGCTTCGCTTTAACTGCTTCGGGTTGTGCTCTCTTTCTCTCTTCACGTTTGCTCCTAATTTTCACCTGCATTCGTGCTTTCACTGTCGCGAGGGAAGGTCGATCGCGATTAGCCTTGCTTCCAGTCAAGTAAAGAGCCAGTTTTCTTATAAACTTAGAGGTTTTGATCCATTGAGTAAAATTAGCCTACAAACTTCTCAATTGGAACGAAGACTAACATGTCAGCGGTACGAAGGCTCCCAGGTGCGTCATGTTTGTAACATTTAAAGTTATCGACGAGCCATCAAGAGTAAATTGAAGCTGTCATTAAAATGATTGCTAGACTCGTAGTCCGCTCACCGCTTACCTGACCGTGACAAGAATCTTGCCTGTAAATGTCCATTGGCTTTCGGGATGGTTTCTGTTTAAAAATTGGTACTTGCACGAATGCACGTTATCATTGCTGCGTTATTTCTACATTTTTTTTAAACGTAATTTCTTATCAAGCAATAGTTTATTCCACTGCAAAAGCCTATTATTTTATGGTGGTTACTATGCATTCTATGTAATATTTGACTTATGCATGCAATATTCGTCATTTTGCAACAACCAAATGATAATTTTACTAAAACCAACATTTCTACAATTTTGGTCTAATGATTCTGTTCAGCCATAAATATGATCTGTCGATTTACCAGTGCTAATTTTGTGCAACTTGGATCTTATTTTTTAATCGTAATACATTAAATGAATTGTAAACAAATTGCAATTTATTTTATCGAGTAATTTTTTTCCGCTGTTTAAATTTTGACCCTGTGACTTTTGCTCGTTGCCTAGCTTTACTGAACACAAATGTGCATGTTGTGCATGTTGACATGCACAATATCCAGTATGTGTGCATGTGTGGATTTACGTCTGTTATTCCAGGTTAGAGTTACGACATCGTAATGAGAAATGTGCGCTGGAAACATCCTACGCCCACGCACGATGTTATCGATCTCGTGCTGCTGACAGCTCGTTATTTCATTTCTGGTTATCATTGTACAGGAACGCCTTTTATGAGCGACATTAATGTTTAATTGCCGAGCCGTGATAGTCTCTGAAAAATCTCGTTAAAGATTTCGTAGAGACTAAGAGAAAATAATCTCGTCTCTAAGAAATTGCTCAACTTCATTTGTCTTCGAATGCTGCATTTTCTGAAGTTATAAAATTTATTTTTAGCGCTATATTTATTAGGAATTAGTTAAACGGGTTTGTTTGAAGTGTTAATTTCAACAAATTAGGAGTGATTTTTTGCTGGCCGTCCTAATTATTCTCGAAAAATCCTTCCTTGATACCAGACCGTGATCGATGCTGCGAACCGCCGATTGATGGATTGATTTTAAATAATTGCTAAATAATCACGCCTAAAATCTTATTTTGATTCAGTACGTCGAGAGATTTTTAAGTTAAGATTATTTTAAAGCCATGAAAGTACATCTACCATTGTTCCATGACTTTTATGCTCGGGAAACGCGTTCAAGGTACATTTCTTGATCCAAAGCAGCCGCCTAACGAAATAATCTTCGTTACCAGACTTCTTTAACTTTTAGTTCTCAGCAGCTCTGCGTGCAACATATGTTATCCGTAAGGTCACGTCACGCGCTGGCGGAGCATTCATTTTATGCGGTGTCGCTGCAACACGACAAATATAGTATAAACCCTGGAAATATTAGGACGACACGAGCAGCTTCTGTCTCTCATTTTACGCCTGTAGGAAAATTAACCCTCGTCCCCGAGGACAGTTGAGAACTGATTGTCGAGGCTGCCTTTTCTTGGTTTAGTGTTAAACAAGTTCTATCGTCCTCAATAAATTCCTGCGATTAGGCTTACATTTCTCATCATAACAATCGCAACATCAACGGTATTAACTTCAACTGCAATTACTTATTCCATTAATTTATTCCTGTAGACACCCTACCCTGTCAACACGTTCTTCGCAGAAGTACAGTAATTATGCTCTTTAAGAGCTGAAGTGCTTTGATAAATTTTTATGCCTGTTTCAGAATTCACACATTGTGTTTGTACTTTTTCATTTAATGAAATTGTGCGCAAATTCAAAAGTATAAGTTTTTTTATTATTATCGAATTAAAAAAACTGCGGCATGAGCAGATTTTGTGCAGATAACTGGAGGATGGGTGAGCCAATTAGAAGTCTAGGTAGGCAGACTGGAAATTTGGTTCGGTTTAATAAAACTAAGCGGATCGAATAAAACCTTATGTTAGGATGAAATTTTGGAAGAGTGTGATTCACTGTTTGGTTCAATGAAAGAATGGACGGGTTGTAGGAAGCTTCGTGAGGGTTGGAAGAAATGTTGTGTTGGTTGATTGAAACGTTATTTTGTTGATGAAAAATCTCGGCTCTGTGGTTGATCATTGTGTTTTTGATTAGCAACAATTCATTGCAGTTAGTGTAAAACATATACGTATCCACAAAGCGGATACGTGCTTTACACTAGAAGAGACGATGTGCTAGTTGAATGAGGAAGGCATCTGTGATGAACACATTGATAGAAATTTCTGACTAATAAAGTATTTTATTAATCATTATACACTCCACTAAAAATTTTATCAACCATATCAGCAATCACAACCTTCACCGAATCCAAGCTGATTTTCTTAAATAGAAAATTCCGCAACTCTGCTTACAATTCCAATCCCATCCCTGCGTTGGACATGGTTTTCCTGCTTGAATCTTTTAACGCCAAAAAAACGTACGTTTTCTTGACCGCATCTCAGCTCTGTACAGCTCTACATAATGAATATTTACTCATAATATTATTCCTACCTGCATTGTATAATTACCCCAGCATTGAAGAGTATTTACCTCAAGCTATACCTTATATTTGTGATATGTAGTTAAACTTTTGCGCTCCTGCAAATTGACAAATGCTTTTAGTCTTTGAGAAACCTTTTATTTTTTGTTCCTCCGGGGAAGCATGTTTCCATCATCAACCCACTTAATTCCTTCTATTTTCAGGCCTTTTTTCTTGCTAGTCACTTCCACGATGTGTCTTGATTTCTTCTTGAACTTTTTCTCGGCGCCGGCCATCAATTTTGGGATTTTCCCGCAAAACTCTGTAAAGACGCTCGTACATCCTTCTCTTTGGCCCTTCGTTTTCTTTTTTCGCTTCTTAAGAGAGCAATTGTCTTCTGGTTTTGTGGAGAAGCATATGGTGCTGCTCTGAACTTTGGCCAGTCAGATGATAATATACTATATCATACACTCTATTACGAGTGTATTGCGTCTTAATTCTCACATTAAAACACCTCGATGTAGTTTGCTCTACTTGCATTGAGACGAAGCGTTTTCATGCGTGTCCATGCAATTAACCTTGATCATAGTTTTGTTGTGTGCAAAGTTCACTCGTCATCTAAGCATTCACTAATGTTTACTAAGTCCATATGCTTTATTTTCCTGACAATTTAGATTTTTCCTTCTTCAATGTTGAGATTTTGCCTATGATATAAGCGATTTCCTCAATCATCTTTTTAACGTTACGGTATTGTTCTCCTTGAGTGCATTAAAACTTTAACTTTGGTACAAATTGAAGTCTCTCTGCTGTCAATGCAACCCCGTTTATTTTTTGTTTACAATGCGAGTATCCCATTAATTGTATCATTCCGTTTCATTGCATTATATTGTGTTTGTATTTCTCACTTGTTCTTCGTTTTTCCTCGTCTACTAGATCCTTCCGTTTAATTTACTTTATTAATTGCATCTTTCTGTTTTATTGCATAGCATTGAAATGGTATTTCTTCCTCGTACTCCTTCATTCTCCTATTTTCTTCCCCTCATTAAATCGAATGATTCTGCTAAACATTTTCACTGCATGACCGACGGTTGATGATTGGAAGTATACGGCAGTGGAATATCATATAATTGTATTAATTGGAATATTGTGAAAAATAATTCTGTATGGCATTCGTTTTAAGTAAAATCAAACTTCGCACACACTGCATTTTTGCAATATATTAAAAAAATATAACTGAGTACTCAGTGCAGTGAGTGACAGAGAGCGCATTTTCTCGTCGACGAAAACTCCGTAACGACGAGGTCACGGACGGACAGACAGACAGACAGACGGACATGGCGAGCACAATAGTGCATATTTTCCATAAATGAGAAAATGCGCTAAAAACGTTTTCTTGTTCCTTCGATTTTGATGACATCGCAAAATATTTCTACCGTCAGGCTGATGTATTTCGCTAACTCAGTTATTTATAATTGCGCCTTGTCTGTCGGCAGACATAATCATTTTGATCTCGGGTTATTTCTGATAGCAGCACATCCTTCCATTGGCTGCAAGCTCAATCACGTTCACTACAAGTGATTAAACATGGTTAAACCACCCTTTCAAGGAATCTGTGATGAACACTTTGATAGAAGTTTCTGACCAATAAAGTAGTTTACTAATCATTATACACTCCACTACAAATTTTATCAACCATGCATATCAGCAATAAATAAACCTTCACTAACCATTTTACTAACTAACCGACTAAAAATCAACAAACAAAACAGAGCAGGCAGACTCACGCTGTTTTGACCCTCACTGCAGCTGCCACTTAATTTAGCATCGCCAGCTATCCTTGAACGCATCCATATTTACACAAGCATCCTTAGAAATACATTTTCTTCCGCATGTTCCATCCTGCGGTATCTGGGGATTTTTTTGTTAAATGCTTCTAAGAACTTCGTTGGCTTTGCCCCATGACTCGACTCGTGTGTTGGGACTCTTAAATAAGACGTGTTCTCGGAATATGGATTAAATCTTATTCTTAATGTTTGGCCCAACTTTGTCTCCAAATTTGACCTTCAGAAGACATTAATATGCCTTCAGCACGACGTTTGAATAGGATCATGTTGGAAGTGTTATTAAAAACGGCGTACAAAGTTACGCAATATTATTAATTAATTTAAATTATTGTAAGTTACTGCGGGTTTTGAAACTTTTTTTTTTTTTTGCATTCTCCATCTGCATGGGAAGAAAAAACAACACCCAACTTTGGGTGTTTGTAGCTCTAGTGCACCTGCATGAATGTATTCTAACGATGCTGACTTGAAATACCGCCTATTTTTTCATTATTATGAAAGAAAGATGATACGCTAGTTGAATGTAATAAAATAGTATATTCTAACAGGGCTCATGCAGAGAACTCAAGTACGAGATCCATCTATCTGAACAAGTGCAGTCGATTGTGTGTATTTTTATAAATAGACTTAATTATGTACCTTTATTAATCTTTCTTCTCCTTCACTAATACCAATTTTGGGGTGAAACTTCACTTTGACCTTTAAAGAAATTCAACTTAGATGTTTAAATTTTTTCGAAATTTATGTAACCTAATAAATTTATTGTAAAATTCCTCTCGTGAAACTATCCGTTGACAACTCTACATTTTTTCCAGGAGATGGAACGTTTTCGTTTAACGAGTTCGTTGAGATAGTGTGTAATATTGGAGGCTTTTACAGTTATAAACTGATTTAAAAACCTTTACTGATGTTTCGTCTCCTGTACTAATACGAATTTTGCGGTGAAACTTCACTTTGACCTACAGAAATTCAGATGAGGTGTTCAAATTTTCTCGAAACTCATGTAACCGAACAAATTTATCGTAAAATTGCGTCTCGTGAAACATTGACAACTATAAATTTTCTCCCTCCAGGAGATGGAACGTTTTCGTTCAACGAGTTCGTGGAGATAGTGTGTAATATGGGAGGCCATGGCGAGCGATCGCGAGAAGATGAGGAGAAAGAACTGAGGGACGCGTTCAAGGTGAGGGCAAAGCCGCGACCTGCGCGCTGCACTGCCACATGACCTGTACAGTTTACACAGCCACATGACCTGTACAGCTTGCACAGCCACATGACCTACACGAATTGCACAGTAACACACCTGCATTGCTCGGCAGAAAATAAAGCTTGCTCTTCTTGGAAAGAAGAAAGATCTCGTCAGTTTTGACAGATCTGCACTACTTGGTCGGTCATCAAAATAACCTTTTTAAAACTAAGACGAACATTAAAACTTTTTTCAATTCTTAATGTGTAGACACTGTCTGCTGAGGTTGTGGTAGTGATGGCAGGGTATTTTGTGAGTGGTGTTGGTGACACTTTTACTCCTTCCCAAGATGATAATGTCTGTCTTGGTTGTAACATTTGGTCTTCTAACGGCTTGTTTTAGAGGTTACAATAGCGTTGCTGTGTCCCATTATTGAGGAGATTATGTAAAGTTTTACGAGGCATATTGTCTGCTGCCTAATATTTCTCTACTGCCGAGCAATATTGACAATGAAGCTCTATAGATTTGGCTGCGTAGCAGGTTTCTGATACAGATAATTCCGCTATCGAGCATCTGCTAATGATGTGTTAGGAAGAATTCAGTAATGATGTTAAGCTGCTGATGATGTTGCCTCATGTCACATGACTGCTTTGCTGCTAATGATGATAATATTTTTTTATTATTCTGATGATAATTTTACTAATGCGGGTGCAACCACTTAAGTTACCTTGAACTTTTACGAACAGGTAAGTTGAAACGCTGACTCTCATATTATGAAGTTCCTACTCTCAGATTCTTTTCATCTATTTTTCAAACAGTTTCTTATCTTATATCCAGTTGACACTAGTAGCTTCAGCTTGTCACTCAAAAAACCTGCGCCCGTATTCATGATATCATCATTTGCTTATACTAAGTTCTTTCACATCATTAATATTTAAAACGAATTACTTGTCAATCATATTTCAACACACAATAATTTTTTAACATGTGAACTATATACCGCGTGTCCCTCACAGGTAGAAGTAGATGTTCTTCCTCAGTTCCTCCTCAATGTTCTTGCCCGTAAGAGGATTTAGGTGAAATTAAATCGATAATTTCCAACGTTGCTTGGTCGATGCATGCCAACATGTTGCTGATTGATACATGAACTTTTTTGCTTAACTTTTATAACGTCGAAGCAGTATCGTCTTGAAGTAACGAGGGTTTGAACAAAAATATCGTCCCTGTTGTTTGAGAATTGTTGACTCCAAGTGAAAATTTGATGAATTCTTAATTGTAGTATGATTTGAAATTAGATCTAAACTCTTCTTGAAAAAGCATGTGTAATGCAAGTCACTACACTATGTATGATTCACGTGAAAATGAAAATGAATGTATATCTAGTTTAGTGATGCAACGTTGTTTTTTAAAACGGGATGAGTGAACCTTTTCACTTGGCTGGAAAAAGCTGAAACTTGAAGTATCAACTCCGGGTGAGAGACATTTCCAGCAAGATTTGATCCGATAGATTTATGCCAATTCCTTATATGGAGAAAAGGAGTGTTAAAAGCTAAATATCAACTCTAATGTGGGGCGAACTTGCGAGCTGCCAGTCAGGATGCCCGCTCACACGTCACAAGGTTTAACTTAACCCCCATACGATTAAATAGAGGCAGCTATACCTCTCTCTACGCAGCGGCACTGCGACAATGAACATAATTGCGACGACCGAGCCATCGAGTCTTCATCAGTGAACGCAATGAGCTGTTACTGTAGCTCATAGCGGACTCAGGAATTGGTTTGAGTTGCTCGCATACTGACTTGCATTCTTGGTATTTTATTTATTTTCTGATTACAACCTGTTAAGTCTTTAAATTTATTCTATGTGTGTTCAGCGTAAACGCTGTTGTCGTAATTATCTTGTATATCAACCACTTGTCCTTGAGTTGCCACCAAGACCAATGCAAGGATCCACATCGCAGAGAAAGTAGAATTTCAATTGTAATCTTAATGATGCTTATATATATTCATGTCATGAGCCGTCGAGAACATGGGTTGGCTATTAAGAGGCGGGAACGTGCTCTGTGATCCGTTCGCAATTGTGCATTTTTTTATTTAGTCGCATATTTGTCTAGTCGCTTCCATATATACACTCGCTAAATGACAAGTCCAATACGTCCATTGGTCTCAAACGGAAATTAATCTCACACAGTCTCATGATTTTTACTTTATTCTACCCTACCATCTGAAAAGCTTCGCGTATTATCTTCAATTTATTAGGGGCCAGGTCATTCACTTTTTTTTTATTGACTATTCTGACGTGTTAATTAATTTTCATGCACTCCCGAATCATATTAGAATCGACTCAAATAATTTCTTATGCAGTCACCAAAAAATAACGAAAAAACTGATTTTTGATGCATAAAAAATTGTGTACAAAATTTACGAAAATCATCATTGTTCTGTGCATGCAGATCTTCGACAAGCACGGCCGCTCTTTCATATACTCCCGAATCATACGTTTAGAATCGACTCAAATAATTTCTTATGCAGTCACCAAAAATAACAACAAAACTTATTTTTGATGCATAAAACACTTATGTACAAAATTGACGTGAATCATCCCAGTTATTTGAACGCAGATCTTCGACAAGCACGGGCGCGGTTACATCTGCGCGAGCGACCTACGCGCGGTGCTGCGTTGTCTGGGCGAGGATTTGGACGAGGATGACAGTGAGTGCCTGCGTTTGGGGGACGTTGTTGTACGTGCATCTTGTTTTTGTGGAGTTAATACTATGCGTCTCTATACATAATTTAAATTACTTTTACTGTTAAGTTTGTGTACTTACATACATTAAAATACGATTTTTCAAGTGTACGAATATATATTTCCCCCCACTGTATATTTGACGACGTTGAATGCACCGGCATACAAAGGTTAAACGTTTAATGCAGAGGATTGTCTACTAACTGAACCAATTCTTGATATTTAGATAGGAAGATCATCGAAAACGGTTAACCTATCACTAGAAGAAGAAAACCAACTATAGGTTTTGAACTGACGATGGAGCTGGACTCCGAAAGGTTTTCTCATATAAAACAATGGTGAATTTGCTGGCTATTTTCTTTGCTTTTAATTTCTTAGTGAATTTGCGATCCTAGCAATCAAGTGACCATGCTGAGAAGAAGGGTTAAATTTAGGTAATGATGTAATTTCATGATGCTTGATTCCCACGAATCTGTTGAAATCTTATGCACTAATTCCTTTTTGAAGTATAAGACTGTAGTTATTGAGACTTTAATACACTTTGCTAAGGATGAAGTAATTCCTGAACTGATGGTAGGTCATTGTTATCACCCAAATATCAAAATGAAGCGATTTCTGAAAATTTTTTTATATATATTAACTAATTGTCCTGTATATTTTTTTGTTACCTAGAAGGAGTTATTCATAAATGATTACCTAATTTATTGATAAAATTTTTGTTCTTTTCAGTTGAGGACATGATTCGTGAAGTCGATATTGACGGCGACGGCAGGATAGACTTTGAAGGTGAGTGCATTAAAATTTTTATTTTTTGCATCCACCGCAGATTTTTTAGACAGAATTCGACTCGCGTTCGGTCGGTGCTCATGTGTTTTTATCATTTAAGAAGATGAACAAATCCATACGCTTACTTTGCTTTGATCTCGAAATCTCAATATGTCTTGTAGGAATCAAAATTAAAATTCAAATATTTATGCCAGAATGTTAGATCCTTGGTTATTAGTACAAAATGAGTCGTTGAGTGTCAAGGTCCAAGTCTCCTATCAAGTTCTCAAGCAATCCGGTTCTGCAACTGGATCTTGCAGGAACCACACTTGCTTAACAAAATTAACAACTCTTCTGAGTTGTGTTATGTTTTTTTTTATAGAAAAATGCATTAAAAATAATGCCAAAATGAAGTTTTCAGAGTAAGATGTGCACTCATGTGCTTTGATATGCTAAAAAGTCTTCGCCGTTCACGAGACATGAATTATAATTCTTATTAGAATAAATATGACTGATCAATTCTCGTACGACGAGATAGATTGCATAATAGCGCAAAAGGTTCACCTTATCTATCCGTTGTGATCGTGCTATGCCACGCCTCTTTACGGTTGACTTAAACTATTATATCTGCTCCCGATTCCTAATTTATGTCATGGCTTTTCATATCCGCTTGAATCTGATTATTTTACCTCTTCCAACAGAGTTCGTGAAGGCGGTGGGTGAAGGCAATGATTCAGACGAAGAAGAGGACCAAGCAAGCGTCTCCTCATCCCCACCAAACGTTCCCCAAATTTAAACCCACCACTCCCAAAACGTTCCCCACATGAACTGTCCGGACGGTCACCAGGACTGCTTATTACTCGAGCGGATGTCGATGTTGCAGGTCATGGTATGCGGCACATCGGGCTCGTCATCAACTCCCAAGTTTAAATCCAACCTGCACGAGTTCTTGAGGTGTGCATCGACACATTTTTTTATCAAACACCTCACGTACCCGTCACTGAACTGGGTTGAATTTTATTAATCATTCAACGGTTTTCACGGAGCGGAAACGACTCTTGTAACTTTAAATTATCTTTTTCTTAATGAATGGTTTACTTCCCATGCATGATGCTTACATAAAACCTAACGAACCTCAAAAACCAATCTCTGTTCGCTGTTGAGAGTTGTTATTTGGTTGGCACGAACAGGGATGCTTCGGGTCTTCAATTTTGAAGTTTTCGCTTCATTTTTATTCGCTTGAATGTGATGAATAATTCAATGAAAGAATCCTCATGCACACATTAGTTCATAGTTAAGGAATGTACCTGGAATAAGACAATAATTACAACCACAATTTTTGCTACTTATATAGCGTAATGTTCAGTAGCCCATTAACAAAAAGTTTTTTGTTGCAAGTGAATAGCTCGATTTCTGATTATTTAATGCTGACGGACACATTCCAAAAATTTCTGTACAAGGGTTAGAACTAAAATCGTTCAAAATGCATTATTACTTGCATACGCTCCTACTTTTTCTTGACTGTGTCTAGAAACCGGTTTGCAGCGACCGTTAATCCTCGAAACCAGCGGGCATTCCACTGAATGTAATTTGACCGTCATCGACCTAATTTGCATCCACATCAGACGTCCAGTGGACCTTGCCGTCATCTTTTGTTCGCAGTCTCATTTGCGTCTGATAGAAGAAAAAGAGATCATAACTTTTTCAGAACATCCGAGGTGAATCTTCCACTCTGCACACAAACGCTTGCTTACATGATTGAGCGTAGCTATGACGATGCGTCTTGTTGCTGTCTCTATCCGCTTTTTGTAGTGCTGGAACAGTTAGTTATTTCCGTACCTCAAGAGGTACAGCATTTGGTGTCGAATTATTTGTGGTCTTGGGTCGCGGGCTTGGGTTCATCGTGTTTGCAGTGACTTAAAGTGAAAATAGCGCCTAAAGCTTCTGACATTCTCGACTAAGTATAATTTGTGTATATCCTCTTACTTACTTAATAGTATTCTCTCTAGACATCCCGTAGTATCTGGGAGGGGAAATTTTTTTTTACCTAATTTCTTCTGGTGTCGTGACCGATGAACGAATACAGATTATATTTTGATCAGTAGGTATCTGTATTAATAAAGGTTTTATTTCTTCGTTCGTGTTTTATTGTCTAAACAGCATGCTGACCTATTCTTGTTTTGAGAGTTTCATAATATTAACTATGCACGTGTGACATGTGTACCTATTTATTAAAACCTAATTCAGCCACCGCCCGCTGTGACAGAACTTTCCATTTGATCGCGCTTGAAAAATTATTCACTAAGGTTCTTACACATGAAAGACAGATCATAATGATATTTTGGAAAACCAATTTACGGATCAACTTATTCCGATAATGATTATCATGAAATGATATATAAGCTTGTGATAATATTCCTGCAAAATGTATAGTAAAAGATGAATTTGTGCAGCATTGTATTCCTACATCATATAAGTATATTCAACGATTGAAAAAGTCGTTGCAACGAATTATTCCTTCTAGAAAATGATTACACGATGATAAATAACTACACATGAAATAATTTTTCGGAATTGAGGTTCAATAAATAAAATAATCCAGAGCTATATACAGTGAAGTTTTTGATACAATTAAGTTTATATCTCACGGCACTGTACCGAACACCGACATGCTAAGCGAGTTTTGCACCGCCATGACTCGCTGACTTCGGCTGACGACTCACGAAAAAAAAAAGATCAAGAGAATTTAGCTTCCTTGTACTCATCAGCAGAGCTCGGTTGCGTGCAGTCAACAGACGTGAGTCGTAAGTTTTATCTCACTTAGAAGTGAACGTGAGTATTACGTCATCTGGCTTTGTTAATAGTGTAAAGTAAAACGTATAACCTAAAGTTATTTTCTAGTGTTTGAGAGTCGCGTGCAAGTGGGAAACCGCTCGTTGGGCGCTGAGACAATCGACTTCGACTTTTTACTAGCGCTCTCGTAGTTCCATGTACCAGCCACAGTGCATTGTCTTTACGGAATTGCCATTTACTTTTAATTAACAGAGCTTTTCTTGCAGCTAGCTACTCTATGTTCACCTATCAGTCGACCCCGCTAAAAAATTAATGAGCCTATGAAAAAAATTAGACTCCGTAACCATCGAAGCGGAGCTTTGACAGATCGATTTTGATTGGTCATTGGATTTCTTGTGTGTATCATATTGCTGAAGAACCCTTGAAAAGATTGCAATAACAAGTAATAAAAGTAATAAATTGTCCTATATTTCTGAACCTAACTTTGCTCCTTCAGCGTGCCTGCTAAATTTTGTGAACCACATTCTTCGAACGTCATGAAAGTAACAGGCAAAAAAAAGCCATCTCTAAATAAATGTATCAACTTTCTTGCTAAATAGTGACCATCAATAATCGCCTTTTTATTTATGCTTCGCTGCTGGCATTGCTTTTTGAGGTCACCTTCGCAGCGACATGCAAATGCCTAGTCACTGTTGAGTCTGCAGGTCTGTATGGATAACTGGGCTGAGTAAAGCTCAGGCAGCATATAAGGAGAGATGAGTGATATTTTTCGTGGAACATGACGCGTGCAATCTTCTGACGACCAACTTGTCGCTGTCTTCTAAGTTCTGTCATTTAAGAGTCGTTGCCCGACAGCGGCCCATTTGTTGTAACCAGCATTGTCCGGTATCGGACAGGAAACCCACATTTATTTTGTCATTGTCAGTTCTTAGTGAATGGTGCTTCAGCTTTTTCTTCCATTGAATTTGAAGCCTTGTCATGTTCCATGATTCACAACGGGCGTACAATGTAGTGTCTAGCTAAGGGCATAGTGGTATCGGTGTCATTAAACGAATAACTCACGGTGACATATAAAGAATCAGGAAGGAGCTACTCACCGATTGTTTGCAGATTCATTCTATTGTTTTCGTTAGAGTCTAGCCATGCAAGACTGTGTTTACGAGAATGACGCAAAATTATTTGCCAAATAAGAACAAGACAATCGTAGCCCCTGGATGCCTTGCTTGGATAAAGATATGGAATTCCCGGGACGATCATGTAGAGATCAGAGCTCGTGTGTTAAAAATTCGCCACAAAATTCGATCTATAGCAATTAGTAGGTTTATTCTTAACTATATTTTTACTTCATTACACACTGTATTACTTTATTGCTAAGTACGTTTTTTATTTTTAAAAAACCTGGTAAATATTATCAAATGTAAGACCAGAGTTGAAGCGTCAATATAAGTTACAATTTAAATAATAGTGTATTTTAGCTTTAAAACACCAAACCAGTACGAGATGATGTCAACAAATTTACTAAATTAATTATCTCGAGTAGTTTTTAATAATAGGTTAAGGTCTATTAGTTATTTTCAAGGTTAGGATAAATTTTACGGCCGAAATACTCTCAGATTTAAAATTTTGAAACACTTGAAGAAACTATACTCTGGGGCTCAAATTGTGCAACATGATAAAGAAAAAAATTTCTGTAACTTCGAAGCAGTCACTTCCCGTTCAATAAACGAACAAATCCATAATGGATGAATGTTTCAACGTACAGGGATTAAAAACAGTGTTGTATAGTCAGATAGGATGCATGCTGTTGCCCCGGCCTGATCTCGAGCGCAAACATCCTGACGTAACAGTTCATGCAACGGGCTTCCCGATAATTGCAGCTAAAAGATCACCGGAAATTCCTGCAGTTGTGAAACACGTCGGCCTGCTTTCACTTCGGCCAAAATAATGCAATGTGTACGATACTATTCTTAGAATTCTTGATTGAATTCTTCCTAAAATGTATTTTTTAATATTATTTACGATCAGAGCTAGTGATTGATCATCAGTGAAGCGAGATCAATTTTTAAAATAAATATTTTGCATTAGACTAAATAACGAGATCAACGATTAAATTTGTTTTGTCTCTTTTCAATACACTTTAAAATCTAGTGTCCGCATGTTCGCGTCAAAACTTGCGCCTGATATGCAAATCTGAAATGTTGGCGAAAGCCTCATTCTAACACCACAATTTGATCGGAAAAAAATTATATTTGCTGGACAAACTTTGCATGTTCAAAGCACCGCGAAGCAATTCGCTGTTGTTTTCATATAACAAAAGATCTCGCACAACAATCGTCATGGAAGATCGCTTTACAATCGAGTACAATTGATACACTCAATAAACTGTAACTGATGTCGCTTTGCGCGATACAAAACCGGAAACATGAAGTACCCATGTCCTCTTGGTTGATGAGCGAAATAAAGGAATTTATTAAAAGTGCAAGTGTGTAACAGTAATTTATTTAAAAATTTCCAAAAAGATGAGCAAGACTTTTTTCACATTTTAAGGAGATACTTTAAGAGGTCTTATCATTTCTAGAAGTAATTAAGATGACAGTGCATCAAATTGATAAAAAAAATTTTTCGATTGAATGGGTGTTGTATTACATTAATTTAGTTTATCATTCGTTCACAATCCAACGACATGAAAAGTGCCCGATAAATTCATCAACTAAATCCGAAGGTATCACAGATATGAGTTCAACACTTAGTTACGTTCGCTAACAAACGAAGCTTGTAAATATTTCCGAAGAAAACCAACAGAAATAAAATAATTTTCTCATTTGAGATCATTATAATATATATCCAAAGATATGCATTGCCAGATAAGTGTTGGCGCAAAACGTTCAAGGTCAGATAATATGGGCCGTAGTTTATTTTGCCTTACGAGTAATAGCCTCAAACGTAAGTCATTTTTCTCTTAACAAACAAAAACACATTCGATGTTGGAAAGATCTGCAATAGATCTCGGAATAGATTTGGCGATAGTTTGCATGGATAGATATTGCATAAGCTTGAGATTGTGCGTATTTTCCCAAATTCTCGAAGATTTTAACTTTCGCATCCGTAAAAACTACGAAGCTTACTTAGTTAACACTTGATTCCGCAAATATAAATTTGTTCGTTGATACTTTAGCCAGTTTATCATGCCACCTCAGGAGCACCTTGCCCTGTATAGTTTTGTGTGATTGGTGATTTGATGCTTAGGAATTAACATTACAGTTGTTAGTGAGGATGAGATTAAATAATAAGAATACGTTACTAGCCATGAAGTTTACCACAACGCTTCGTGTGCACTCAGCCGAACCTTGCAAGTTTCCGTTCTCCTCCAATGATCCTTCTTGTCTGAAGCGTCGCATTTACCTTCAACGAGAGCCTCGCCTAACCGCGTCCAGGGTTAGCGGCGTCCGTGATGAGCTGTCGGTAGAGGTCGTTATATTTGGTGCTCAGTGTGTTCACCACAATCTTGATGTTGCGCTCGTCGTCGGCTGAGCACTCAAGTCCCTTGACTCGGCTGCATTTACCTTGCACGCGGATGAGCTCTGGCGCAATTCCTGCAACGAAAAATGGAGGCCACATGAGCAGAGTAGGTCGTTAAAACTAATGGAACCTAATCAACCTATTAAAAAATGTCCTAGTTTTCATTTAATTTCGCCAGAACCTAATACTCTTTACTTGCAATTGAACCTAATTTGAACGCATATCAAGAATTGCGATAAATACGCTATAAATATTTAAATGTGAGATGCTTTGAACATTACAGCATCTTCAATACACATAGTGAAACAATTTATTTCCTGTACTAAGCAGCATCTTCGCCGCTTGTCAGCTGCAAGACTCACGAGCAATATCCTTGGCACGGGCGTCCCTGCAGCGCCTGGGTCTCGTGACGCAATCGACGAACTCCTTAGCTTTCTCGCGGGTCGCGAGGATGTCGTTTATCTCCTCGGGCGTCGCCGAGGGCAGCTTGTCTGCCTGCACGGCCACCACGGCCAGCAGCGCCACGCACGCTACCAAGAGCAGCTTCATTCTGTACAAACGCGAGATCGTTGTCACCACAATTCACAAACATGTAGAAAATACTGCATGCAAGTACTAAATCTTTCGACTAAAGTTTTTCTTCTGCGCCACACATGTTCCATGGAAATAGAGAATGAAAAACATTGATTTGCCAATATTTTTTTGACATGGAGCTAGTGAAGGCAATAATGCTCCAATTATATTTGGATTCACGTTCTACTAAATCTAAATGGGACAAAATCCAATCCAAAATCCGTACATTCTGGATCATCGGCACGTTGTATTTGTTGTAATTGCTCATCCTAATAGTGGCTAGGAAGGGAGTGATAGGCAAGTGTTTTAGGGCACTCAAGCCACTGGTAGTTCTATGATCATCACTAGCTCGCTGACCCTCCAGAACCATTTGGTCATCGCTTTGACCTTACCGGGCTGAATTTTTCTATGGCAACAACACTTTTTGTCAAACTGTTCAGCAACCCTTACTCGAAAGCTGCTATTGATCTAGATTTTTTCAAACACCGTTTGTACCCGTAATCGATCTTACTCTGAATCTTACACGGACCTGCTTTCGAATGATTGCATTAATTGAATTATAAATATTATTATAGAGTTCGCTTGTTTTACTTGTCAATAAGTGTGTATGACATACACAAGGCAAAATCCCTAATTTACTAATGAGCTGCTCTAATCTAGTAAGGAAGGTAAATATTGCGTTGTTTTTTATGACCACATTAACTGACTTTTCGAGTTATTATGTAACATTATAGGTCAACTCATGCGTCCTAGCAAGTTGCCTAAAGTGGCGCATCTCTTTGTAAATTCTATCTACAAATCCATCGCATGGCTAAATTGGATGTTTGATCATACTCAAACACAATATTTTCTTAACTCTATTCGTAATCTCACTTGCTAGAGTTGAACACTAGAGAAGAACAATCTTTATCACAGAGAGGTCAGCGCCGTACTGCTAGACGTTGCGTCCGTCCAGCGTCTTAAATAGTGCGACATTTCAAGGTCCTTCGGAGTTCTCGGTTGTCTCGTGTTTACCAACCCTCTGGCAAGTCCTGGAGCTTGTGCCTGCTCAGGGCTCAGGGTTGTTCCAGCTCAATGCAGTACAGCACTTCCTTGCTCTATAGCTTTCAATAGATTGATTCTACAGTTTACTGATCCTTGATTATATAGGTGACGAATTAAAATGAATTCAATAATTCGAGAAATACATCATTAATGCTACAACGCAGTTACAGCGTTTTAGCCTGACTGTTTTGTACGGATATTTTGATTAACATCACGCAATTACTTTGTTCAAACAAAGCATTTTACAGTTTTTAGGAATATAGATTAAATTGGCTGTCTCAAGCTGTAATCAAATGCTTATTTAAAGATTCATTTGACCCTTTTCCTTGGCAAATACATTAAATTTTCCACTTAGATACCGTCTTCAACCAGAATCAAACAAGATTCAAAGTCTTGCATTCAAAACTTTCGAATAGCAAACTGTATTTTAATCGCCTGAAGCATCATGTGAAATTCCCCGAAGCACAAAACGATCCGAGCGAAACGTATAAATGCAGACTTCGCTCGGCACAGTCACCGGTAAAACCTGTCCTTTGTACGAAAATGCCCTCTGGAGCGGCAAAAAATTACCTGTGACGGTACATCTGGATCTAGATCTTTCGATCGAACTTGACGATCCAGAATTGAGCGGGGATTTCCCTTGTTATACAGTCAACTTATACCTGTCACTCGGTTCACAAAATTTGAGTGCTATGTCCCTCCTTATTTGTCACTCAGTCAACAAAACGGACTTTTACTATAGTAAAATATCTTTGTACTCATATTGCACCATCGACTTTGTCACAAAGTCAAGCAATTCGCTAGACCCAATCTTTGATAATCGAATGTCATTTATTGATGCTTTAATTTTATATAATTTTTGTCTTAACCCATTGCTTAAATGTTTACATTTCATTTTTTTATTATTATTCCTTGCTCTATAGCTTTCAATAGAATGATTGTACATTTTACGGATCCTTGATTAAGGTGATGAATTAAAATTAATTCAATAATTTGCGAAATACATAATTGAGGCTACAATTCAGTTAAAGCGTTTTAGCCCGACTGTTTTGTATAGATATTTTGATGAACATCATTCTTATTCTAGTTCAAATAAATCATTTCACAGTTTTAGGAATATATATAAAACTGTTTGTCCGTAGTTGCCATCTAATGCTTATTTAAAGATTCTTATTTGACCCTTTTCCTTTATAAATACATTACATTTTCCACGTAGATATCGTCTTCATCATGAATCAAACAAGATTCAAAGCCTTGCATTTAAAACTTTCGAATCCCAAACTCTATTTTAATCGCCTGAAGCATCAGGTAAAATTCCCCGAATCACAAAACGATCCAAGCGAAAAGTAAACGCAGGCTTCGCTCGGCCCAGTCACCGGGAATTCCAGTCGCTATACGAAATGCCCTCTGGAGCGGCAAAAAGTGACCTGTGACGGTGCATCTGGATCTAGATCTTTCGATCGAACTTGACGATCCAGAATTGACCGGTTTTTGTTCCCTTGTTATACAGTCAACTTATACCTGTCACTCGGTTCGCAAAATTTGAGTCCTTTGTCCCACGTTTGTAACTCGGTCAACTGATTTTCGTCACTCAGTCAACAAAATGGACTTTTACTGTAGTAAAATATCATTGTATACTCATATTGCTCCATCGACCTTTGCCACAAAGTCAAGCAATTCGCTACACCCAATCTTTGACAATCGAATGTCATCTATTGAAGCTTTAATTTTATGTAATTTATGTCTTAACGTATTCATAAGATGTTCATCATTTCACTGTCATTAGTCACAATTACGCACCCAAGAGAAGGCTCTTGGGTGCGTCGAATGATCGTTGGGGCATATTAATTATGAATGAGCTTTCTCGGTATCAGGTCTTCAGATCGACTTCACTTATTCGGGCATTCAATAATTTTCCCTGACAATATATATCATAATCAGCGGGGTAGCTAATTGATTGAAAGCAAGGGAGTTTGAGCTGGTGGTTACGTGTTCGAGCCTCAGTGAGCTGTAAAAATTCTGCGATAACAAGTTCTTTACGAGGTCAGACTAGACATGATCTTCAAAGCTGACACATCCTTACTATGCATGTATAGACTCTATTATCTACTTTCAAAGTAATATTTGTTTTCAATCAATGGTATAAACGTGGCAAAATTGTAACATAATTCACGTATTAAAAAGAGAAATCGAGCGATTGGTGTAGCAATTTTGTTTCCAACTCGATTTTAAGTCCCACGTTTGCACTTGTTTCAAAACAGGCTGCAAAACTATCATACGACTATGAGCACATAAAAGTATCACAAAAGTACTTCATTAGAAAATAATTGTTTCACACACTCATTTGCCATAAATGCTGTGTGAATCTCAAGAATTTCGAAGCGCGGCTGAAATGAAGGAAGAAAACCGAAATTATTTCATGAGTGCCTGATATTACAATAACTTTTTAATTCAAAGTATTTTACTTCCATTATCTGGGTCTTTGATGTTGCAGGGACTGATAACATTTTCCATCCATGGCCACACTAGCTCAGACGCAGGCGAGCTGGTTAGAAAAAGATGATAAGAATTTAATGAGGGTCGTTCCAAGTATAACGCTCTCGTTTTAATAATTTCTCCCCGCACATTACTTGGAAATAGAAGAGTGGTTGTTCAGTGTCGACACTTAATTTAGCGTAACGAAGGAAAGCGAAACGATCATCAGTCAAGGTTTTTTGGCCGTTGGTCTCGCTTTTCGTCCGTATATTCACGGCCTCAGTAGCTCAAGTCTTGCGGACCTTAAATGCTCGGTATTTCACGGTGACACTCTTTTCTCTTCAACAAACCTGACCTTCAAAATGGTAGTTAATGTTTAGTAGGGTGTTTAATACTGCTCAAAAAATCGCTTTCGTTGCAGTGCATCACTACGACGTTGCGTAAAAGTAAGCTCGGTTTTTACGACCTTGATTGCATAAGGACGAAGTGTCAAATTGTTTCAAGTTCCTGCAATTTCAACAAGAAAATTTTTGAGGAGTAATTTAGGCTTAACTAATCGCCTGATACTTCAGTACAAATCTGTCACCTATTCTTCAAGAAAATGGTAGAGTTTTGTCATAAAGCTACATCTGATAGTTTTGTACTCTACCTATGACGTAATTTTCTCACGACCACATTAGTTTCATACTCATTGTGCTCAGACAATAGCTTTCACTTACACGATGGCAATTAGTATTCATAGTGCGCACTCGAGGGTCGCGGAAGAAATCATGAAGGATAATGTAACAACCCCTTCCCGTACTCGAGGAGCTCGGAGCAAGGTTAGGTTGGTGAGATTGTTTGCGTGAGTGCTAGTGATACTCAGAGGCGCACTGCAAGGTTGCACGAGAACAAAATCAGAACGATGAACGACATATACATGACTTCTGAAATTACTTGGAAAGTTGTTACTTGTCGTCTTGCGTGATGAATTCAAATTCGAAGGTTCCGTGTGCATAATGCCAGAGAGTTTAGTTCGACAAGCAGACTGAAGGTCTGGGGAAAACACACAACTTCAAGTCATCACTCATTTAAATTTGTTTTTTAGATTTTACATAAAATGGTGAATAATGTCATAAGGAAGCTCAACCAGGGCTGCTAGCCTAGTTTCATTCGTACTTGTCGTCATTATGTCGAAAGCTATTGAGTGATAATAATTATCACTCAATAACTGTTAATAAGTGAACTCGTTCTGACGGTTAACAAGTCAACTCGTATTTATATCTAGACGTGAAGTCCTGCTGAAAATCCTTGCATTATGCACTGCCTAACATAACAAAAGCATAATTGTAGTGTTAATTGCTCTCTTACGTTTTGCGTATGATTACTAAATTTGGTTTGTAAATATTGGATAAATATCGTTTTAGACAGTAAATGAAAATTCTTTGCAGGACGTGCAGACATTCCTTATGGGATTTAACGTAAATGTTTGTTGAAAATGAATATCTGCGATTATAATTCGTAAATTACCAACAAAAGTGTTTGAATGTTGTTGAGGCATGATTTGGCACTAAATTCTAGCAAATATAAGAATCTTCTATTGCCTGTGTTTCTCAACAGTTTCTGAACATTCCCTATTTTATTTGATGCAGTGTAAATTTTCGCACTCCACCTTCCTCTATATTCGCGGCCCCAGCACTATAACAGAGACGAATTACGCTTCAAATGTTTTGAAACATCACCCTGTATCAAATAAAAGTATCATCACCCAGTATCAAATATTAACTCAAATTTCAGCAGGTTCAAAAAGTCGAAACGAAAGTGTTTCTGCGCTGAAAACACTCATAGCAAAAGCAAGAAGTGAACCGCACTCGACGATTGATTAAGCGGTGTTTCCTTCGAAATCTGTGGGATGGAATGAAGAAATCTGTGTTGTGTTATGTTATTTTATGTTATTTTCACAGTACTTCTTCTTGAAACGTAGTTGATGCTCTAAAACAGCCATTCTCCAGTCATGCTCAATGATGAGCTGGGATTCGTATTTTGGTTGAATGAGACACCTCGGCTGATATACGCCTGTCTCGCGGAGACATATGATGTGGCAAAGGGATGCACAATATACAAGGCTCCCTGCCCATTCAGTGAATCCTCCACTTCAGCCCAGACTCCGCTCAATGTTTGAACAGTAAACCTCGCTCTCAAACGCCATCTATGAAAATAGGACTCGAAACTTAAACGCGGCCTCATTCTCCAGGTAATGCCGTTAGAAATCCAAAGGTGCTCATTATAATGCTCACGCGATGTGATCATATTCTTCTTTATTGATTATTATCAGTTTTTTTATCACACTTCTATTAATTACTATATAGATGTCAATTCTGCGCTGTATCCAGTCCAAACCCAGAACTGGTGAGCATGGCTGCCAACTCGCTTTCCTAAATAAAAACACACATATGC